GTCTTAATGAAGAAAACAAGTTTTCATTTTTCTTCCTTCACTTGAACACTTCAAGCAGACCAAATGAAAAGAAAAAAACCTTCTCTACCTCTCCATCTATAACTCCTAGAAGTTCTAGGATTACACTGTAAATCAAAAACTGATAATCCTGGCTGCATTCTGAAGTTTGATTTTATGAAACCCAGGTATCCAATGTTTGTTAAGGGAAGATGTGGCAGAGTAAGGAAAGGCTCCACCCAATCCTGTACTAGAAAACATTAAAGCAGACACATAAGTAATCGCTGAGAGCTAAAGCAGAAAATCAGATAAACTGCAGGCTACAGCTAATTTGAATTCCTATTAGATTATTATACTCTGAAATTAACACAACTCTCAAATCATTGTGTCATAATTGTAGATGCCAAAGTAATTTTGATGGCAATGTTTGATTTCAAATATTAAATAAAATGTAGGTGGCTTTTTCAAAATTTTGATGTACTGCATCGATAAGTTTTTTAAGAGTCAATGCTTCTATTTCCTATTGAAGCTGAATTCATACTTCCAAATTATTGACTTGATACTTTCAGTATCAAGTGATGGCTTCTACAAACAGCCAGCACGGACCAATAATTGCAAATAGATATAATCTTAAGAGCAGTAAGTGAAAGCAGAATGATGCAAATCATTCCTTCTTTTTTATTTAGAATTTCTTTCCCATTCCCTCCTTCCTTCCTTCAAACTCTGCTAATTTTCAACTAGTAAAGCTGAAAATAGTTGTTTCATAAGGCGGGACTTTGGGATTCACAGTGTTAAATTCATAGACTTTGTTCTGGCTAAGCAAATAATATGCTTAGTCATAAGAGAATGGGGTGGCCTTTGTATTTCTGGGGAGCATCACCATGAGGCTTGATATAATGCTAGCTGGCTGGCAAAAATAAGATGTGACCTACGATTGCTAGATCTTTCTTAGTGACTCTCATACACAACACATTCTATAATGGCACAATCATATAGCTACACACAGGGACATTTTCTCAAAAAAACAACACCACCAAACAAACAAAAAACAACTCTACATGTCCTCAGTAGTGCAAGTGGTTCAAATTGGTGCAATTGGTGCAATTTCTTAAATGTTAATTATGAGTCATTAGCATTAGCAAGGGAGCACTTATAGTACTGAATGCCATTTCAGATGAGATGCCCAGCTAATCTAGCATTCTGATCCCACATAGTCTATCCAGTTGTTTGTGAGAAAGCATTAGGCAGCATGTGAAAACAACTGCTCCCTTCTCTTTATATTCTCTAGCCAATAGTACGGAGAAGCATGTTGACTTTACAATACTTTTTACAGCCATCTTGACCAGTAGCTATGATAGGTTTACACTATCTCCCATGACTTTATCCTCTAGACGTCTTTTAAAACTGTCTGAGTTCATAGCGCTTACATCTTGGGTTAATTAATCACATAACTTTACGATAAGACTATATGAAGAAGCACTTCTTTGGATTGATTCTGAATTTTCCACCTTCAGGTTATATTTAAGACTCTTTTACCATACCCTGCCTACCTTAATTGTATATGTGTTTATGAGATTTCCCCCTTATTTTTTTTTCCTCATCCAAAAATGTTTTGAGTGTTCTGACTTCACTTATTCCAAGTATGGCTGTAGTATAGATTTTTATAAAAGAATTATGATATTGCAGTTTTATTTTGAACTTGTCCTGATTTCCAATATCAAAGCAGAGCAACAAAACTAAGTTTTTATCAAGCTATTCACCACAATCCTTATGCTGTATGTTCGTTATTAGTCCTAATGCGTACCTTGAATCATATGACTGGCCACCCAGTTTTGTATAGGACTGAACTATATATGACTTCACTATTATAGATTTTGAATTGGGAGTTTATGCCAATTTATTAATATCACTAATGACAAAAGGCTTTTTCAATATACACAATATATGAAAAAAATATTGAGAAGAGGTGTGGAATCTAACAGATATACTGAAAAATCTGATCATTCATATAAGACATTTCATTTGTTGAAAAGTGCTAGGTAAATATTACCAAAATTAGAAGTTTCTCTCTGGTTATTCTATGTAATCTATAGCATATTACTGTTTCCATTGATTTTGGAAAAAATTAAGTGTGGTGTTCTTTGGATAAATAAAAGAATCACAGTAACATTTTAGGGATTCTGAGGACAAGGCTCATCAATATATCAACTAGACTTTTACTTCAATTTAAAACAGGTAACTTTAGATTTCAGTTTCTGAAAACCATAGAATGAATGTCTTACAATCCCTTCTTCTACAAAGTGTTGTAGTTATTTAACATTACCTGAGATACCAGGGTACACACACACAAAAAGATTTGTGCTAAAAAAATAAAAACCAACGTAATAGGTGTTCAATGTCATGGAATGGTTATTCCATATTGATGATAAGCATAGAGACCCAATTTTAAAGATGAGCTCATTTTCTAAACCTGATGATAACTAAACTGGAACGTATCCTGAGAATCTACCAAGTTCTTTAGCCTGCACCTGAAACCTTGTAGCATTTTTTGAGACTTAAGTTCTAAAAAAATACAGAGAAGACTGAATTATAAAAAGATTCGAGAATAGGATGTACGGAACATTAAAAAAAAACACCAAAATTTAATTCAAGGTACCTATTTTTGCTGCCCAAACTGCATACAGCATTTTTTTCATGGAAAGCTAATCTAAGTACAAAGAGAAAAAATCTAAAACAATGCACGCTCATGTATACCGTAAAACCCCCCACAAATGTTTATTTTGCCATTAATAACCGTGCATGACTTAATTACATTATACTTACATTTATTTTATTGCAGACATGCATTTCATTTTTTTTACAAAATTAAACATTGGGTTTTATCAATATGGTAGTTTAGATACAAACATCTCTGGAAATCAGAATATCTTTAAGCAATACATCAGAATGATTACTCCACAAAATGAACTTTATAGAAATGAGTTGAAAAGAAGCACTTTAACTGATGGAATAAGAGTCAGAATTAGGATCCTAATTTTTTTTTTCACAGGCAACTTTATCATATACATTAAATACCTACAATTTAAATTGACTTTTTCTTATAAAGGTCACTATGTAATAACGCATCCACCTCAGCAATTTAGTCTCCAGAAGCATTGGGATTTCAACTCTCTGGTAAATCCCACTTCAACTGGAGTACACCAGACTGAATATCACTAATCTTTATGATCAAGATAACAACCTACACAACCTGTAATCACTGTCTGATTTTCCTTTCCCTTTTTCCCTCTTAGATATAGCTTTCACTCACTGTACCACACACAGGAAAACGGCTAATCTTTTTAGTTTCACAAGTAAAAACTACCTCTGTGGGTGTTATTAACATTTGACATTTATATCAAAAAGATGGTTCAAAGTTCACTATACAAAGAAAGTAGCTGTACCATCACTTTCTAGCTCAATCCCATCTCAGAAGATTAGACAGTACATATTTTAAAAGGAGTCTGGGTTGAATTTTGGAATAATTATTGTCAAATTAATGCTCATTACTAAATTGGCTCTTATGACTTCCAGATATATTTGGTAAATTATAATATATGAAACATACTTGTATATGATTTGGCTACTGATGGAAATATTCGATTTCAAGCTATCACTGAAAGCAATTATGGTTTTTTACCTGTGGACATCCACACTCCATAAAAAGTGTTTCCTCACTCAATTTATTACCAAAATGCTACTGCAGTATTAAATTATGACCCTGTTACCATACTGATCATAACTCACACATATTGCCTCAAAGTTACAACATTAACAGGAACTTGCAGTCTCTAATGCCCTAGGGAGAAATGTCAGTGGGAAACTTACAAAACACTCCTGCAGACTTGGGATATGACACCAAGGCATCATATGTATTTCACAATCTATAATCTGTGTTGTGGAATGATTACACTTGAAACCCTATTTACACTCCTTGTTGTGATTAGGAAGGCTAAGAGAAAAAGTATGATTTATTTAAAAGAAATTATCAGCACTTTTGGTTTACTAAGTACTAAGTGTAACTCCCTGCCCATCATCTTCTCTTTATTCATAAGGATCCATCTTGGCTACAGGTGCTTTACATTTTCCTATCAGAATACTCACAGCAGGCAATTTACCTAGGAAAAGCTAAAAGCTTAAGGGGATCTAGAGAACAACAAAGCCCTATGAAACTCCTTCAGCAAACCCAGAAGGCGCCTATTAATGCCCATTCCTGCCCACTGGGTTTTATCAGATACTCAAATATAATTCCAGTTACTATCAACTTTTCCTTCCTCAAGGTATTACTCAGACCTGATGCAAAGCAAACTGCACACCCATGCCTAAAGGGGCCAGGAAGCGTTTAACTCTCTTTTTTTTAACTAAAGACTTTCAAGTCAATATACATTTTTTTAAAAAAAAAATCTGCACATCACAAAAACCCTTTGCAACCCGTCTCTGCATTCAGACCTACTGGATTCTTTTTACCTGGGCGGAATTTTCCTCGTCTAGGGTCCAACTTCCCAGACTGACATATCCATTAACTAGGAGTTAATAAGTTGTTGCGCGTGTGCTGACACGGGCATGCCTTTCGTACGGATGTCTCTCCTTCCCTTCACCGTCCTCCCCCCCCACCCCTCAGCCCCGGACAGTCAGCCTTATCTTTCCACAGAGTTCGCGTAGGGTAACCCCATCCGGAAAGACTTCAACTCCTTCTCCCGACCACTCTCACAACCCCCCCGAGCCTGGAGAGGAACTCTCATGAGGAAACCCTGCGCCTCCGACTCTGATAGGGAAGAAGACCTGTCCTTGCCTGGCACGGCCCTCCTAGAGGTCCGCTGCCCCCCCCCAAACAAAGTTTCTTCTGCCTTTTTGCGGCGCCAGCTCCCCTATTCCGAGACACCCCCCCCCTCCATCCCGGTCCCGACGCATCTCCCACAGCCGCCCCACTCCCGCTGGACCCAGAGACACGTGCCTCCACGGACCGAGTTCCCCAGAACGCCTCCTAGAGTCGCAGCGAGTGGCAGCCGCTACTGAGGCGGGCGGGCACTCTGGGACTCTGCCCGTGTGGCTCGCTCTCTCTCCTGTCCCGACGCGCCGCGTGAGCCTCCCGCTTGCCTCGTTCGCTCCCGCACTGACCTGACGCTGTCAACGCGGCAGGAGCAAAGCCTTCGCCTGTAGTGCCATGGGTTCCCCCGCCCGGCCCGTCCTATGGGCAGGCCCCGCCTCTTGGTCCCGCGGCTACACTTCCCCCGCCCTCCAGCCAACCTCCGCGTCCCACCCACCCACCCGGGAGCGCCCCGAGCGGCAGCGCCGGAGCCGCTTTCTGCTTATCCGCTGACCCCGGCCGAGGGTCGAGGCGAGCTCTGGCGACGTGGGCATTGGGTCTCCGGCTCTCTGGATTGCGCCGAGCGATTAATAACAGAGCGGGTGCTAGAAAAGGGGGTTCCACGTGCTGGAGAGGAACCCGAGAGAAAATGCGCGCAATTTGAATACAGCCCTGTGAAAGGATAGGAAACTGCGGGGTGGCGTCTTGGGAGGTTTTTTTGGGTGGGTGGGTCGGGTGCTCAAAATGCAGCCTTTAAGGAACCAGCCCGACGCTCGCTTTCCCACGTGCACGTTTTCTCCACGGACTAGTTTTCCCATGGACAGTCTTGGTCTCTCTGTCCCCATAAGTGTCGGAGTCTGTTTTAGGGTTGTCCCGGTAAATCTACACCACCACCACCACTCCAGCTTTGGACGACCCTCAATTTTGTAATTGGCTTTCCTCTCGATAGGAAATGAAAAAAGAAAATAGGAAATGAAATATGTACTTTCCTTCCTCTGTATTGCACTACTTTTATTTCCTTGCTCCTTTGTTGCCTCTCTCTCTCTCTCTCTCTCCCTCTCCCTTAGGGTTTGGACACAAAGATGAGAGATTTGGCATTCTTGGAACAATCAGCTGTTTGGAATTTTGTTACTAGTAGCGTTTTCCTTTTCCTTTTGCAACTTTAATAAGCAGTTTGAAGAATTTCAAAAGGACACTTGCAGTTTCGGTTGTCCAGGCCTCTGCTGCCCTGTTTTGAATTTCTATCGCCCAAATGTGATACCCTCTTCATGGTTTTTAAGATCCTTCCAATATTGGTATGTGAGATGGATCCTGGTGGACTCCCAGAAGGTATGGGTAGTCCTCGATTTAACAACAGTTCATTTAGTGACATTTTGAAGTTATAACAGCACTGAAAAAGTGACTTAGGACCATTTTCCACACTTACACTGTTGCAGCATCCCCAAGTCATGTGATCAAAATTCAGACGCTTGGCAAAGGATTCATATTTATAACGGTTGTAATGTGCCAGTGTCATGTGATCACATTTTACAACCCTCTGCCAAGCAAAGTCAATGGGGAAGCCAGATTCACTTAACAACTGGGTTACTAGCTTAAAAACTGCAGGGATTCATTTAACAAATGTGCAAGCAAGGTTGTAAAATGAGGCAAACCTCTCTTAATGTCTCACTTAGCAACAGAAATTTTGGGCTCAATTTTGGTTGTAAGTCGAGGACTACCTATATTAAGATTTCAGTGCTACTGCTAGATCAACATCTAATTGTATCTTTGACTTGATAACAGTGTGTTGGTTAAAAGGAATTACCATTACAGTAAGGATACAGATATGTTTAAAAATGCAAACAGGTAATACCTTGCAAATCATCAGAAAACATCAGGGGTGGGGCTTAACTAGCAAGTAGTGCATATATGTATGCAAGTATATGCATACTTGCCTCCACAGATCAAGTTATTCTTTCTCTCTCTCTCCCTCCTTCCCTACCCCTCTCCCTCCCTCCTTCTCTAACTATCTCTCCCACCCCCCTTCTCATGCTACATATGTATAGTCTGATAAAGCCAGCAGGAGTTGAATTCTACTTGAAGGAGACTAACTACTAAGGCAAAAATAAAAATGGGATTCTTAAACCTGTCTGAAATGGCAGGCTAATCTAAATTATCTCTAAATTCTGCTAAGGTACACTTAGAATATCCTTAAATGAGACACAATAATTATCAGCGAGTCAGATATATTTCTTACAAAAGTATTTCTAATACCATGATAGATTAGTTTCTTTGTTTAAAATGTAATGGCTTTGCTCCAGCTCCAATTAACCAGGCATGGCAACCCAGTCATTTGCAAGTCACTCAGTCCTTCTGGCTTTGTGGTCTTGTTCATCAGCAATTACATGACAATTTCAGTCAAAGGAGTTCTAAGTAAATCTGGAGAGGGTTATTTTTTAAAATCCATTAAAATTAGTTGAATTAAATTAATCAGTCATATCAGTCACTTTGTTCTGTTGGTTTCAATGGGTGATTAAGGGCAAAAGTCTGCTTTTAATGGGAAATAACTTCCAGTGAAGATTACTCCTAAATAACTGTACCCTGAATTACAGTTTTCATCAAAATAATCTGTTCTTGATTATAGCTATTTTATTATGAAGAGTAATTATTTTATACATGGCTAATAAGTAATGTGTAAAATACAGGGCCACATTGTTTAATGAATTAACCATTTAGATTAATTGATTGAAAAACTTATAAAAAATCAAGATCAGGACTCCCTGCACTCATTCAAGCCCTGGGCATCTCATGTCTGGACTACTGCAATGTGCTCTACATAGGGCTACCCTTGAAAAGCATTCAGAAGCTACAACCAGTGCAGAGTGCGTTGGTGTGGCCAGCCTTTGGGGCCCCTAGAATGGCCCACGTTATACTGCTGTTCCGTGAGCTGAACTGATTGCCGGTCTGCTTCCAGGTGCAATTGAAGGTGTTAGTTATTACCTATAAAGCCCTACATGGCATGGGTCCATGTTACCTGAGGAACTGTCTCATCCCAATGGGATGGGCCTACCCCATCCATGCCAGCAGAGGAGGCATGTTGCAGATCCCATCAGTCAAGGAATTTTGGCTGCCAAGGTCCAGAAGAAGAGCCTTCTTTGCAGTGGTTCTTGCCCTTTGGAACATCTTAACACCCGTGGTGAGATCTGCTCCCATCCTCCTGGCCTTCCATAAGGGCCTAAAGGGATGGCTCTGCCAGCTGGCTTGGGGGATGCCTAATAGCAGATCCCAACTCATCTTCTATACACCTTGTTCTTTCCCTCCTCATCTTTTCATCATAGCTTATTATTTTATTGCTATATACCAGGGGTGTCAAACTGCATCAGGCCCATGGGATGCTTAAATCTGGCTCACGGGGCCAGCCTGGAAATATCAAAGGACTAGCCCACGGGGCTTCTGCTGGCCAAAATGGGCCATGGGGGGGCTATGTGGGGACCTTGTGGGTCCTTTGCGTGGCCCGTTTTTGGCTGGCAGAGTGCTGTTGGAGGCCAGGGATGACAACAGGTCACACGGGCGCCATGCAGGGCCATGCCACGTGGGCCATTTTTGGCCGGGACAGTGCAGCTGAAAATGAGGTGCAGGGGGCCCATGCACGGTCCTCCTGTGTTCCATTTTGGCCGGCAGGATGCTGCAGGAGGCGTCCGTCCCATCTCCCCCCCTTGCTTCCCTCACTGCTGGCACACGGAAGAACAGTACAATGCTGATCCAGCCCTTCAAGAAATCCAATTTGACACCCCTGGTATATACTGTATCTTTGTATTGTTTTATTGTTTTTAACTTTGTAAACTCCCCCAGAGTCACCTTGTGGCAAGATGGGCTGAAAATAAATGAATGAATAAACAAACAAACAAATATATAAGCTTCCAATGAATTTATGCAAGGGCTTTTGGATGATCTCTGAAAACTTCTCCTTTTACATTCATGTAGAATGAATGGGATTTTCTAAGGTAATATTTTTATGGCGTGTCTAAACTAGATTAAAAAAATGGGGATTTTTTGACTTCCTAAATATTTTTAATTTTTATAGAAATGAATGTAAATGAGAGCCAATGTGTTCAGTGTTAAGAGAAATGATGCGATGGACATTGTTGCCTACTCACAACCAGAGAAACTCCCTGGGTGATTCATACTCTTATCAGTCAGTCCTATCTCACAACCTACCTGTTATTGGGGAAACTAGGGGGAGGGACCATTGTGCATTCTGCCTTGAGCAGTTGAATGAAAGATGGAATATAAAAATAATATTCAAATGAATGGAATACAGTACTTAAGGAATTTGCTTCAAAATCACGATGAATTGTTTAAGATCTCTTCACCAACTGGCAGGAATGCAAGTTAAAATAACTGTACAAAGTTTGGAAATGTCTGTGAGATGTCCCCTGACATGGACCTTAAGGATCTACTTTTTGAAGATATTTTTCTTAATTAAATTTAAGAGATTGTTAAAGTCCAAATGTTCTCATAATGCAAAAAATGGATGAATTGAGATTAGCTCTTTTCATCTGAAACCTTAAGATTATCACATCGATTCTTGGTAAAATTGTAGTTGCTGTGTGTTACAGTGGTCACTGACTCCATTGCTTTTACTTAGATCATGCTTACTCAGTTTAATGGCACTTGTTGAAAATTAATGAAAAAGGTTGCACATTTATAGTGCAATCTTATAAATGTGGAAGTAAGCTTTGTGTCAAATGGCTAAATATTGGCCATTGTTTCCTGGTTCTCTTGGTTGACTGTCGGTATTTTTTAAAAAAATTCTCTTTCATTTATAAAGAAATTGGGAAGAAAACTGGTTTTTTTTTTTACTAAATAAAGGCTTTTAAAAATTAATTTCAGTGTTATAAATATATCTGAGCTAAATAAACATGAATTTATAAACACTAATATTTTAAGGCAAATAAATATAATCCATATAAAACAACCTTATACCAATAGAAAATAAATTTAATTTCTCACTTACTCCCATAATTGCAGAAAGTAAATAAATATTAAACTATATTTCCAATAAATTATGATAGACAGAGAATTAATAATTTAAAGACCATAAAAGTAATAAGCAGGTAAATATGGGCACCTTTGCAAGCTTTCTTGCATTTACTAAAGATTTTCACTTGATATGAGAAATAAAATGCACATGGTGTTTATATCTGATGGAATTGTAAGTAGCTCAAGTGAAATCCTTTGGAGAATTGTTTTTAGAAAGACCCAATGGTGGGATTCAGCCAGTTCTCACCACTTCGGGAGAACCGGTTGTTAA